TTAGAGTAGCACAAAAACCAACCACATCACTACACAGCATGTCGTGCAAACCAAAGAAAGACAGAACAAATATAATCTACAAGATTGATTACTACAAAAAACTATTCACAACACATTGTTGACCAGTCTAGCCGTTGGATTGCCCGAAGAATTCATGAACAACTAGCAATAAAGTGACGTGATGCGGCTTCCTTGGTTTCAATGGACACAGACAATCACGATGACAAATGCAAAGAGGAGAATGTGAAAATCCTTCGAAAAGCGTAATTGGAGCTTGAAGAGAATTTGTGGGAGCGTGGTATTTCGACGAAACGTTAATCAATAGGCATGTGGATATAGAATAGATCTGAGTTTGGGTTAGAATTGCTGGAGTACTAGTGCCTCCATCAATCACAGTTAGGGAATCGGCTGGGTCTAATCTTGTAGACAGTTGATAATAAAAATGATTCTGGTGGAGCTATGTGACGTGAACTCACTAAATGTTCAAGTATTAAACTGCTGATGGATTTACACTGACCTCATGTTTACCATGCAGGAAAATGTTCGGAGATGCGCTTTGAAAGTGTACGCTTTGTACGGGCAAGTTAACTTCGAGATATACTGATGTGGCCCAAAGCAGCAGTTTGTCCTCAACAGACCCACAGATGAAACGAAACGCACTCATTTACATCGTGCATATTCACGCGGTGGGCTTATGATACTACCTGGCTACTCAAACCTCGGTATTTGAAGCGTGGCTTGAACCCGATACCTAATGGTTGATAGTCATCTCCCTAAACCATTGACCCAGAACTCCCCTGAAGATTATCAGAATTCGGGCAGAAAAGGATATCTGCCAGAGTGATCTGATTGGACGGTTTTTCTAGGATATCTGCAGCCTCATCACCGCTACAATATTAACAATGTTTCCTTCGAGACTACATTGATTCCCTCAGTGCTGCTTGGGTTTTAAATTCTTCCCGATAGTTTAAAGAGATATCCATATCCCAAGCGTACTTACAGAAGTCTTTCCACCTACTCTTTAATTTTATTGTCTGTGCAGATACTTTCAGTCCCTGGTCATACTGAGTGAATTTTATTTCCTTTCCTACTTATTGAGGAACAGCTTAGGAAACACATGTACTGAATTTTATACAGCAAGCTGTGAAGAGAACCATCTGGTTTTCTTTCCGATTAGCTTCGCATCCTGACACAAACTTGATCGAGTGGTGCAACCAGTAAACTGTTCGACTTTGGCTTTAGGATTGGTACCTCCATCACAGACGATCAAAGTGCCATCTGTATATCTCTCATGCAGACGAAACTGTTAATCGTCAGGCGTGACACGACCTCAAATCTAGAAAACATTGTGTTAAGCCCTATGACTGATAAATATGTAGTCAATTCCAAGCAGAGCTCAACGCTTTCCTCTTTCAGTAAGTAACAAATACATCTACTGAAAATGTATTTCTTCAGAGAAACAGAAATGATCGTTTCCACAAATCTGCAACTGGGAACAGTGATTAACCGGGTTAAACTTAGATAATCAACCTTAAGTGTTTTATCTAGTGAGTGCTGCAGTCCACACGCTTGTAGCTGTGAAAAGATAAAGGCTCTTTAGCCTCAACTGCTCAAACACCTCTTTTTCATAGTCTTCAGAACTTAACTGCAGTAATAAAGTAAACCAAACTCAAGACGACAAGTTGCCTGTTAATGTGTAATCAGTCTTATCATCTCTGAGAACCAGAGAAGAATAAAGCTACGCAACTATGTAAGCTGGGTTGTTTAACCTTGGGGCTTTCATCGTCATACTGAAGTTAGTGCTGATGATGTCGTCTAGAAAGACGATGGAAGCTCCGCAATCAAACAATCCAGCTCAGAGAACACGATACAACCAAAACCATGCGTCTGAGGTACAAAAATTCCCCACCATTCCACTAATTACGGTAGTATGGAGGTAGGCTAGTGAAAACAACCTAGGAGTATATATTAACATCATTCATTGCTGTGGATTGTGAACGCCCCTTGGTTCTGGTTGGATGTTCAAGATCATTTGATAAGTCGGAGGGTTGATGTCGGCATTCTTTATCTTTGTCAATTTACTAATTCACGTTTTGTATTCCTCTTAGCTTAACTCCCAAAATGTCACTTCGATAAAGTGTTCACACTTTTGGACACCACAACTAACCTGAGCCACGTATTTAAACCTCTCTAATCTCATTCTCCTCTTTACATGAATTCAGTAAAAAGTACCTCGTCATAAACAGAAGGATAGATCTTAGTGCAAAGTATCTCAACCCCCTTGTTATGAATGTAGTACGCTTCAAAAACATACAAACGTCTAGTTTGCTCACAGACTTGAGTTTTCACTCTTTGTTGGGATGCAGCTGTACGCTTCCAGGTAGAGTTTCAAGAAAAGTTAGCGGTTAGAGACCGTGAGTGACGTCAGTCAAATTCTTTCGGAATCATACAGACAGACTCACCCTTTGTCTTGCTTTGAATGGTCGTATTTGTGATTCTATGCTAGCGGTCGAAGTAAAAGTGCGTCCACAGCATAGAATGAGACATGTCCAAGATCCTAGGGTTCATAGTAATCCAACGCCTAACTGGAGCTCGACAACAACAATTTTGAGAAAACCAAGTAGGTTACAGACCTGATGAGTCGATCAGATTTCCACCCTACAACAGCTTCTGGAACACAGGCAAACCTACCAGGCCAATAGCCGGCATTTGTCATATTTCTCGACATGAAGACGTATATATATATATATATATATATATATATATATATATATATATATATATATATATATATATATATATATATATATATATATATATTATATATCGTTGACGAAACGCAGCCTTCCAAATGTGTTGAGCTGAAATCTGAGCATATTCGGCACACGTTTTGCACCTATCAAATTTCAGACGATGTTACAAGACTGGTCCACGACTACTCCTAGTTTAAGGATAGGGGGTGAAGTGGTGGAATGTGTACACCACTCTACTTACTTGGTCCGTTTGGTACCTCACAACTTGCGTCATCTCTGGCGCTGATTGGCGGGATATGCGACTATCTACCAAAAAACGACTATACTGCACTGCAGTCCTTTCTGTTGTATGGCTGTGAAACACAACTGTTGAAAGTAAAAGACATGAAGCAGTTACAGAGGTTTGATCTCAGACGTTTTCGTAGCACTGCTCGTGTTTGATGGGATCACCATGTGAGCAATGTTGACGGCCAGGCGAATGGTGCTAGGCAAGAAAGGTAAGCCGATTGGTGAGGTTGTTAGTCGACTGAGATACCTTGGACACATACTGCGCACGCTAAATTACCACCTACCTCAACATACCATGCTGGGAGGAGTTGGATTAGATCGTAAGACAGCTTAGGGCGGCCAGAGCAAGACGTAGCACCAGTCGATGAAGTCTTTTACTGTTGGTTAGTCGTGTGGGGAGATGGAGACTGCCTGGATGGGGTCCTGGGACGAAAAGAATCAGTGGTTGAGAACTTTTAGTGACATGTTTGAAGATGGATCACAGTGGTGCAGCTGTGTTCACTCTTTAATATCTTCTAAACCTTGAATATTTGCCCTAACCTCCATCAAATTATTTATCCCATCACACAACTTTGTCTACTGTGATGTCACTCTTCCTCTGTCCACTTGCTCTTTGTATACTACTGGAAGTTTAGCAACTTGAGATGATGCACTTGTGAGCAAGGTTTTACGTTGATTCTGTCTGTCTGAATAAAACTACATTTACTATCGTCGTTAACTGTATTTTTGCCAACAATACTTACATGAACACCAAATGTGGGATTAAAAAGCTTCGTACTTATGGAAGTATCTTTTTTTTTCCTTGATCCTTTTGTATCAGTATGAATGATGATAGCACCAGGATAACTTACATTAAGGATTGTGTTTTATCTCCGCTTGTTGTTTGGAAACGATCCTTTCTTATGTGACCTCACCCGAATTCTTAATATTTGCAAAGTAGCAATGTATACAAAAACCTAGTTATCTTTTTATTCATATGCCTACTGAAGCTATTTTGTGTCCCCCTACGGGAAATATCTAAATCCTATAATTACCACAGAGCATGTATGGGTGATAACGATGCTGGAAGCACAATCACGCTCAGAATCAACCAGTCAGTATCCACATCTAGCGGAACTATACTTACTCCGTCTCATAATGTCTTATTTCTACTCTTACTGAAGAAGGGTTTTATTGAACAGTTAGTGCTGTATACTGAGAAAATATAACTGATACTAAGCCTCACGATTTGGCTTTCATTTAAAAACTATCTCTTGTTCTGCATCTTATCGTCTGTCTGAATCTTCATCAGTCGATCGTTATCCCTTTCGACGTTGCTATATATACTACTCGTTTGTATTTTTTTATAAGTAGCGCTCATCAATCTACTGCTGCTGTCGTTTTCTAATGGCTTCTTTGAAGCTGATCAGAATGAATCAGTGCATTATGCTTCGTCAAATTCCCCATTGTCTTTCTTCATCTTCTACATCCCCACAGAAAATTTGGATTGAATGCATTAAAGCTGATATAGGAGCATGGAATAAAATGCTTAGCATGTGTTGAATAAACCTTCAGTTACCAGTAACAAGCTGAAATTAAGATGGATCAAGCTAACTATTTATCTTTAGTTTTCAAGTATTCTCTGACTGATGAGCAAGAAGAACAGAGTAAATGAGAAAATGTACTTTGAGATCATGAACTGTTTATATAAATCACATGTGAAAAAAAATATTAATAAATAATAACTAAGTAACATTCATTTGAAATAAGAATATCACGATAACAGATGAAATAATGAGGTGGTTATTGTAAATATACTGGGAAGCAGTAAGGTTCTAAAAACGTGCCTCAGACTATTCATATCACAAGATTAAGAAGTTAAGCAGTCAAAAATCCCGATAAATTTTCTAGGTGTTTTGTCTCTTTGTCTTTGACATAGCTGTATCTCTTATTTGTTTGGCCCTTTACTAAAAAGTAAAATTACTCCACAATGTTACAAGCAGCATCAAAATAATCTAATCTGGAACCAATCCATAAATCAGAATATTCTTTCTGATGTATTGGACAATATGATAATCTAGGTATGGATTTCTTTTCAGACTTTTCAATAGGAATTTGTCTCTTCAACCATGCTATACAAACACGTGCAGAGTTGGCTGGTTCAACTATTTTACCATTGGTTTTCATTTCAATCAAGGAATTTCGTGTCTCCTCATCTCCATGATCAGTTACCAGTTGAGTAAACATATCTGTATGTAATGGTCCAGGAGAATAGTTGAACACAGCGACTGATGGACGATCAACAGATAAACACCTGAAATACATTTCTCTAGCAGCTTTACCAACACAGTAATCAGACATGTATGGAAATGCCTTACAAGCTGCTAAACTCGAAATATTGACAATTGTAACAGGTTGATGAAATGATTGGCTAACAGGTGCAAAGTGCTGTAAAAACAAACTTGTCAATATCATTGGAACAGTTAAATTCATAAGATAATATGTACCTAGTGATTGGACATCAAAACGCTCATCTGATCGAAACTTTATATTTCCTAATATCGCAGCATTGTGTACAAGCATATTCCATTGACGTTCATCATTGTGCTCACTGGAAGACGATGAAGATAAATTAAATAATGGTTCAAGTTCTTTTCTCAAGACGTTTTCATCCGCATTCGACATGTCAAGAGATGATGTTGACACGAGGACAGTTAATTTCATTCCTGAAGCATTTGGCTTAGAGGCATACATCTGAAAATTTGAAATTGAAAACGAACATCTGTTACGGAATTCAAAACAACCACTTGTTCGAAATCTAATTTTTCATGGTACACTTTACTCAGTCGAACCGACCGCCCGTCGTTGATATGCGACCTCCTACTGACGGATGCCTCAAAATAACTGTTATGATGAGGGTACTACTTGTTTGACGGTAAATGAGAGTGGTTTAGTGGGAGTGCGTTCGGCTAGGATTCATCAGCCGCATTCAGGTGGATCCTAACGTGTCAACCTACTCACTATATAAACGACAAGGACTAAGTTCACATCTCAGGGAGATGAGGGATGGTTAAGCAGTCTTTCTCTCCTATATTACCTTGAGATATGTATATCGGAGACAAAATATGAGTAGTCACAAGTCTTTTGTAATACTGCTAACTTGTAGTAGGATCATTAAGTGATACTGAGATTCTGTGTGTAACTTTTTAGGTAGCAGAAGTAAATTCATCCGTTCGACTGTAAATTTGCACTCAGTGCAAATATACGTCATAACTGTGTCGAGCTACAATCTACTTTGAATGACGCCAAAGTCAGGAGTAAGGTTTAACAAAGTGGTCAGACTAAGGTATGAAAATAATTCGCAAAGCTTTCAGCTGGTAATCTAAGCCACGTAAGAGGATATTAGTAAGCCTTCTGCCTGGGACAAGTGAATTGTTAAAATTTAAATTTGGGAGACTGTAAATCAAATGGTTCAAAACAAACCAGACAAATATAGGTAAATTCACCCATTCCAATAAATCTTCAAAACCTATACAAACTTATTCATCCTTCATTTACTTCCTCCTCTTCTTTCCTCCCAACTTAGTGTTCTTCTGCCTTCGTCTACCGTTATTTTGGTCGTCGAGAATAACACCAGCTTCATGTAAGGCATTATTGTACAAGGTCCTAAGCTGTCTAACATGCCTGGGATGTATTTTCTTTGTTTCAGTTTAAATTTGACTGGTTGGATCACCAAGACAAATATCTGACCAACAGCCAACTGAAAAGAACACCAGTGAAATGATCAGCACCTCAGGTTCTATTGTGAGATAGCAAAGAATAACAGAACCCATTTGGTATTAGTTTGTATTTACCAAATGGTCACATTCAGTGTTTCAAAGTGCTTTATTTCGCTATCATGGTATCATATGGTGTAAGTTGACTTTCACTACTAAGTCAAAGAAAATTAACAAATAAGTTCAGCATGTTTTGTAAACTCACAATAAAAACATACAAATGCTATCGGACAACTAATTAATTACCTCAGACTCTGTAACTCGAAGTGCATTAACATCACGAGCCATCAATAAGATATTTAAAGAAGCAGCATGATCTTCTCCAGATGATAATGATTTCACTAGTTCTATGCAAAACGCCTGACCAAATCCACGACTTGCACCAGTTATTGCAACATAACAGTTGGCGTTGCACCATGGACTTTTTGTACTGGATAACTCGTCACAAACACAATTTTCTGTGGAAGACATCTAGATGCACGTATGAAAATAGTAAGTACTTACAATGATATTAATATTTGCTATGTGCATGCTTATTAACAAGCGACTAACAGTGTTTATGGAGCATCTGTATATAGTGTTCCTAAAAAGATTGTCCTAAAGAAATTTTTCGAAATTTGCTTAGTGAATTCAAAATCGCATACACTACCTTTTCGTTACACAGATACACTCACTACTTCAGACGAAACCTACGTATACAGGACAATATTTAGATTTTCAGTTTGTCCACTTCAGTATAAATAGGTAGTGCCAAAGTGTTATTTTTACCACCGAAATTTATTAATCAATATCAAAATATAGGTCTATCCCTCCATCTGTGCATTGACTTCGATTAATGAGGTTGTTCTTTAGCCTACCTTCTTCCAATATATAGCTTCATGTGGAGGAACACAACAGCAGATGGTGCGCGAGTTGTTTTAAGCCGCGGTCAACGGTCGGCCTTCAGCGTTCTACATGACTCAGAAATTGCCACCACCTACAAGATGAATATAGATCACAATAATATGGAATAATATGAACGGAATGCATGAATGTCGATTAGGTTCCATATTTTATAATCGAGTACTTTAGGCTTTGAAATCGCATATAGCATGAGTGGTATGTTGTTGTTGTAAGTTGACTATATATTACATCTATTATAAGTTTTAGGGGACTGATGATGATGATGAATATCGTTAAAGAAAACACGTCAGTACATACTCCTGGAAAACACTACAAATGGCTTTTCTCAACGAATTTATCCCGGCTAAAAACGAGAAACAAGATTGAAGTAGGCTGACTGCCAAAAGTATCTACTCACACAATTATTGCTACTAAAAAAAAAGACCTTTGAGAAACTACAGTTGTATATGAAATTTACGAAAGAATTCGGGACTTGTTATCGGAAGAAAATTACGTGATTTTATAGTTTCCATGACTGCCTAGCGAAAAAAGACAGAAATTGCTTGAAAGCAAAGTATGCCACACAAAAATTACCACTCGTTATAATATCACCTATGGACCGCGAAAAAGACCGACGACGGAAAATTATAATATATATATATATATATATATATATATATATATATATATATATATATAACATATTCTGTGAATTCTTCTTGTTGTAACACATGGTTATATTTGCAATGATGCAATGGCCTGTTACTACTACGCGGAATCAACCGATACTAATCATAATCATAGGGCTAGATGGAATAAGATAGTGGTAGGCTGAAGTACGGTAGTGAACAGACCCTTGGTCTAAGTCGTAAGACAGCTAAGTACAGAACTAACACTCAATACTTACCACAGTGAAGCCACACAGCTGATGACTTTGAAATGAAGAAGTCTAAGTAATTGAGATGTTATCTGGCTTCCCGTGAGTAAATAATATCTTCAAACAGTGATATGCCGATAAATTAGTTCGGATTATTGAAAACAGCGAAAAGAAGGAACATAATGCTTGAGTTTAACAGTCACACTCAAATAATATTATCAGTTTTGATAAGAGAAGTTATTTTTCGATTTTTTTCTATACTCAAGTTCAATCGCCAATTATGATACATTAAAATGCAGTATTCAGTGCGTTGTAAATATATTACATGCGATACACTTATTAGTACACTTATTAGTCCCTCGAATTTAGAAAATAAAAACATTGGTAAAATCCCAAAAAAATGTATATTAGCATTATAACCGCTAACTACATTTTTTTTCAGCTTAGTCATATAAGTGCCCTCAGACAATACAACTGAGTCCTCTGACTTTAGAAATAACCCCAATAATTAGTCAAAGAATGTATTAAATTGTTATTTTACGCACCACTGCACACCACCCAAGACTTCTATACGATCTTACAAACATCAAATAACCCACAAATTATTGGCGTCTTAACAGTTACCTTAACAAAAGAAAAATGTGTCCAATATCTAAAACAAATGCTGAGGATAGAGAAAACTTTTGAGTTTTGTACTTCAGCCTCCAGGTCTTGAGGATCGGTTGTTTTCAATCGTCTCCATCCCTTCGGCGGGCACATAAGTCTTTCCAGTTTACCTGCTTATATATTTAGATGTTCAATTTCCAATGTCTTTTCACGAGCTAGTATAAAACATTTGATTTCTTCGCGTTTGCTTGCTTGATGGATTCCGATCCAATAGGTCAACCCACTAGTTTGCTGAAGCTGTGGTATACACGGTGTGGTGATAGGTTTTGGGTAAATTGGTAGTGGTTGTATTATTTGGCCTAGGACTGTGGTGCAAATGGGTTCCTCTGGTGTCCTGTCACCAGAAAGTTGTTTGAGCTGTTTGTAAACATAAAGTAAGAAGAATGAAAAGATTACCGGAGAAAACAAGGCAGAGGAAGGAAGAGGAAACAATTTAGAAAGAAGCAAGACTAAGGGAATGCTGAAACCTAGGTAGATTCGGAGAGGGGAGAAGAAAAATGGCGAGATGAACAGTTTCGATGAATAGACCGAGGTCAGAGGGAGTCAGAGGGAGGAAAAAGAGTGGGCGAATTTGTATTTTGGATGGCGGGAGTACAAACAGTGATGATATTCGTGGTGTGGTATCTAAAGAGGTGGGATGTCTGAAACGTGACCATAAGGTCGGATCAAGTTCGTGGTAGTAGTAGCAGCACAAAAGAGCTGGTATGAAAGTTAAGGATTTATCCTGGTGCGAACTTGACAGACGCAAAGACCAATCACTAATTATTCGGACTTGTTATATACCCACGAGTACGAGACCAAGGAAGAACGCGATAGCGTAGTCTGATGGGATTGTATATTTGGATGGTTGTGCCAAAATACCGACGCGTTCCAACTAACTGTCTAGGGAGTCGAATACGAGCAGTGCAACGTGACACGACAGCGTGCCAAATGGCGAGGATGCTTGACCGGATGCCTTCAGCTTAGCGAGTCCAGTTAAACTATCAAAGTCAGCATCAATGTCGAAAGTCGTCAAACCCTAGGCTATTGATTTTGGGGGAGTGTGTGACGCTACGAAAGTAACTATCCTGGAATAATGCCGAATCAATTAGTTATTTGACCCAATCTGCACCCCATGTAGCTTAGCGTAGGCAGTGCGTTGCTGCGTAGCTGCGCAAACTTTTCCTGACGCTGTCGACAGATGAAGCGGTCTCACTATCGGCAAACAAAGCCTTCCGATAGCTGAAAACTCAAGCGTAAAGAAAATATGAAAGCACGAGGAGTTTCTTTCCTAAATGGGTGATTTTCTTCGGATTTCCAGTGGGACCTCTGTGGTGAACACTCGATGGAATTCGATTGTTTGGAGGATTTAAAATATTTGGCATCTTGTGGGCCGCTGTCAAGTCACTACGTAACGTTCAGTGACTGAGGCAGTAAAGGCTTAGATCCTTGCCGAATCTCCACCTCTGACCTTTCTCCTGGAGGTTCGCACCTATTTTGAGGTATGGTGGTGAAATGGTGATGTAAATCTCTGCGTGGGCTAGTATGTTAGTCTTGCAGAGCTCCAGAAAACGTTCTGCGATGAGTGTGCTTGGTTGTACACGTTCATTTTCCATGAACGTCACCCTCTAATCCCACGCTTACCGTGCTGGCCTTATTGGTTGCCTGTTTGCTTTGCTGTTTTTATTGTTTCCGGTGTTTCGGCCAATAGACCAGTTAAAAACAGTTTTTCCAGCTACTTGTTAAAACATCCACATACCACATCAGAAACGGAACTATTTAACGAGAAATACTACAGTAAATAAGAGAGAGTAAATGAAGTTACTGTCGAAAATACCTGTTTCACACACTATCTGAAAGAGATGACGGGCACTGTCAGTCACACCGCACTAAGTTTACGCAATAAGAAGCTGTTTACATGCAGTGGTGTAAGCAACACCTTTTAGACCCGTTCACATCTGCAGTCTCCATTCAAGGAATTAGTCCCTGACAGCGTCTCGTAGGCCTCCGAGGATGACTCTTGAGGATGTCAAATAGTCCAAGCATATATTACGCAACTCACACTTTCCGTGTTGTACAGGTTAACAAGCCCTGGTCAAGTACAGAATTGGTACATTGGGGGCGAGATGTTTTTTAATCGGTTACTTGTCATTTATGGCCTTCTTCAACCTGTGAACGTTGAGTCAGCGGCCTCATTAGCACCCGATGGAAAACAATGAAGGCTCATGTCTGATAAACTAGAATTCATAAGTATCGGGACCGGTGAGATAACCAGTTGGCGTTGCGAAAAGTTCAGGTGCTGCTGACTGACCCAATGTTAACTTCTCTGTAAAACTGTTTCATACTGACAGGGCATCAGAGATTCATTTGTTCCAGCCGTAGGTCAGCACAGTCTACCTTCCAATGCATGTGACAGGTCCAAAGTCACCACACGCATGTCTTTCAAACTGAAGCCTCCGTTGTCAGAGGGCAAATATCAGCCGAAAAATCGATTGCGAGAACTGTTCACAGCGCCACGGTGGCCAGCCTGGTAGTTGACTACTAGGAGGATTCATGAATGCTGGCGAACAACAAAGCGGCGTCACGTAGCCTCCGTGCATTTGATGCACGCAGATGACCACAGGTAAAAATTTGACGAGAAGACTCTGGAGATCCTTCAAAGACCAGATTCGAAAGTACAGCAGAATTTTGAGCGAGTACTGCGTTCATCAACAGATGTAGATATGGGCCGTATCTGCAATCTGTTTGGGAAGAAGGCAGTCACCCACCAACATGCTGCGGACCAACCAGACAGCTCAGTAATACAATACAAAAATCCTCTGCCGGTGTGACTGTGTGGGTTCAAATGGACTTAACAGCGGTGAAAATCTCCCCAACAGCTTGTGATTGGATGATATGTATGGCCAAGGAATACACTGCCAAAACATTTGTGTAACATTGGAATATGCTTCACCTCTTTATGAGGTAAGCACCGAGGGAGTTACCAGTTCTGAAGATGAAATATCTACGGTTAAATACCAGAGCTCAGAGAACACCTAACCGGCATAATCAGGTCCACGAGTAACGTCCGACAAGTTCAAACTTGTTCTTGTTAAGTATTTGGTCAAGAACTGCTGACGTATCCCCCGTTATCCATTCAATTCTAACCACTATCAGTTAGGCTGGCACAGCTGCGCAGATGGAACAAGGTGGGGCCATGTGAACTATCAAGAAAACGTGGCCATTCGGCTGCAACACGATCGAAAAGCGTCTTGCAGTTGCCCGAAATGTAAATGTAAAGTGCGCTCAGCACACAAGATCTACGTATCCCGTCTGGCCCCCGATCAAGCGGCAAGGCCTTCAAAATCCTTCAGCCTGAACCAGATAAGGAATGACTGAACTTTCAAACTGTAGCATGAACCACCCTGTCGAACCAGCGGGTCAAGCGATTGCGAGGTGACAGGGACTGAGATCTTGCAAAGTTTGGAACCCATTAAGTCTCTTGTGCTTGGTGAAAGTTGGCCATGGGTGAAAAATGTATGCACAGAAGACTTAGGATGTCGTCAAGCAACAAGTTTCCAGTTCTCCTAGAAAGGGTTATCTTGGGGCTAGGAGACAGCAGCTTTCTGGCCCATGGAAGAAGAGGGACATGAACATGGTGTTTCAAACTACAAACTGATGCTGAGATCATGGATGGAGTGACAAACGAGTTAGTCCCAACATGCGGGTCTCACAACTCGGCGTTGTCCGATTCGCAGGATCCGTTCGTACAAAACGGATAATGTAGCACCAAACTTCTGGTGGCATGGGGCATCTGAGCTGGGTAGAAAGAAGGACGAAAGTTTCATAAAGTAGCCGTCGTGGATTGTCTTAATGCCTTCAACATTGTAGACTCTGGTCTGGCATTCTGGAGGCTTCTAGGTGTAGGCATAACCCGGCCATGTTATAGTGGCCACAGGAAAAGCACAGGAACATGTTGTCCACTGTGAGGGTTGGGTCATCAATGGTTGAGGGATTTGAAACGCTCAGCGCTGCCATCACACCTCCGCAGGCTCGTCTGTCATTTACGATCATTCCAGCGGCATGAAAGGCCCTTTAACGCCCCTCTTCTACTGTTTTCTGATGGTACCAATATTTTGAGAGAGTAATCAGACCGCCGAAGACCTTTCTAGTCCAGGAAAACTCGGACAAGCCGTGCCAGTGAGCCAAGGAGAATTTGTTCCTGTTTATAGTAAGCGCAAAAGAACTATGCTGACCAATCGTTCCTCGAAATGCCCCCTGACCTATTGGAGTGACTCCGGCATTCATTTCTGCCGTAGAGCCAACATAAGGGTACCCATCGTCGACCCTCATGGTGTGTTTACAGACTTCTAATCATCTGCACAAAAGTCTGGTGTCCCTGCATGTCTATCGCAAATACAGCAGGATTTAGGAAGAAGACTGCTCAGAAGGGTTTGGGCTAGTATATCCTACTGCATACGGATATAAATTTGATTTTGGCGTCACCATACCTTGAAAGTGATGACTGCTTGGAAAAGGTTCGGAAATAGGCTACTGAGCTGTAGAATTCATGTATACTCGTAGCGTTTCACCTCAGTGACTCGTAATCTTGCTGAGTATTAAGACTGAGAGCTTGGTCGTCCGCAGATCGTGTAGATATTACATCAAGCTCCCTTCGTACAAGTGCTCGGAAGTCACATAAATCGGCTTGGGAGAATGAGTGTGCAAAATTTAGGTCATCAGCAAACAAGAATGGATCACCGTGTGTAAAGTAACCGCGAGCTTCACCCACGTATTAAACAAAGGGAAGGGGACATAATACGCTGCCTTGAAGTGCTGCAGAGGTGACTGGCGTAGGCTTCTAAGTGTGTGAGTCTACTTTCACGACTTGAGTGCGACTACTGACGAAAGACTTACCGTTATTATTGTAGCGGGCGTTGCTGGCAAGAGTGGATATGAGTAG